GCTAATCACAAAGATTAAGGCAAAGACCCAGCCTGGAAGGTTTGCAAACAGCTCAAGACTACTTCTGCAAACAGCTTTTACAGACAGCAGTCCTGCACAACAGCACAGGGGCTAACAAACCTATGGCATCCATGCAGGGAATTCCCAGGAAAGCTCAGTTCTATCACATCCCAACCATTTCCAGTTACTGCCTTAGTGACACTGCAAACCCCAGGACCACTGGACACCCCAGGACCCTTGAGGGGGAAGTTAGTGGTGGCAGCGAGGGTGAGATAAAGTCCATGATGCATCCCAGCACAGAGGCTGAATCCCATTGTCCCTTGTCCCCGCAGAGGGCTTGCAGAGTCAGGCTGCTTGGCCAGCCCAAGCAGAAGCAAGCCCAAAATCATTCCCACTAGACCCTCATGTCCTCAGCTGCAAGCAGTAGTTGCTGACCAGAATTGTGCACAAGCAGACTGACTCCAGATTTTACAGTCTTCAATCTCCCACAGCCAGGAGACTCCAAGCCTACATGACAGATAAGCCACAACACATCCGTAAAGCCGTGTGCTGAGGTTTCCACAGCCACCCACTAAGAAGCCCTGTCAAAGTAAACAGGTCATCCTCCCTCTTGAGGGATCGCTTTGAACCCCCAGCCCATCTGCAGCCCCATGTTTGTTCCCATATTAAGGAAGCAGCTTGCAGCTGGCTGCACTAGGACAGAAGGGGGCCCTGGTTGACTGCAGCGTGTGATGGACAGTTGACAAACGTGATCCTTCCCAGAAGTTCAGCATCAAGTCCCCACTTAATGGGTGGCTGTGAGGAGGAGCTGAGAGAGAAGACAGATACTCCTCTATAAGGGGATTGTGGCTGAAATGTGATCTCCTCCCCGAGCATGGTGGGAAGGCTTCTGATAGCATGGCTGCTACTGAGGCAAGGAAGACAGTTTTCCAGGATGGTTTGCCTGCAAGAGCATGGCAGGAGGCTGCAACTGCCCTGATGCTCATGAGACTTGGGAACACAGGGTGGCTCCTGCCAGATGTGACAACACTGTGGAATGAGTGAAGAACACAGCCCATGTACTGTGCAGCAAAAAGACTTGACCAAACTTGCTTCAGCTCCAGGCTGCACACAACAATCTCCTTCCCTTCCCTGCCACAAGCCCCCTCACCCACCCCACTATCAGCACAGCACAAGCTGGGATTTACCAGCAGGCTTATATGGCTGCAGATATTTGGCATCACTGCAGCTGTGCCAGCACCTTTCCTGCCTGCACATGGTTTTGAAGGCTAAGCGCAACGCTCATACTGCAGCAAAGCACAAAGTTCAGGCTAAGCACAGCTGGCTTTTGGCAGGACATAGAGTGAGCAAGGTTAGCAACAGTCCTGAAAGCAGTGGTTTGAAAGGCGTGGGTGCAGCCCTGCTGGCTGTCCAATCTGAGCACCTTGGCTAGAGTAAACCCCATCCATCCCTTCCCCAGCACAGTGTGGCCTCCCAGCCATGACAGCCTCGTGCAATAATGCAAACAGGACATGTTGACCCCAAAACTCAAAGTCAGTTCAACCAGAAACACTGATGAGACCTCCAGAGGAGAGATTTTGAGACAAATTCTTTAATTACTTTCAGTGAGGAACACAAGTGAGGAGAAAAATAGGAAAAGTACTTTCAATTTTCCTCTGCTGTTGTTTGGGAAAATAAACATATTCTTGAAATGCAGGTGGCATTAAAGCAGGGGCTTTTCATCAGAAGAACTGCCAGAGGATCACTGGGAACCCTATACAGATCAGGGGACCCAAGGGACCTGCAGCACCATGTCCTCATATTCAAACATAACAAGAGGGTGAATGTTTCTGCTTAGGAGGACAAAAGCATCCTAGAAAATCTCAGAAACATGTTGAGACAGAGAAACTTTTTGGTTGAATAACTGCCCACAGATGAGGTGCAAGTGAAGATAGAAGGAGCAAGGGGAGAGCACATACACTCGATTTCTCAACTTTGTGATATAGTGGTAGTGGTTGTTGAGCAGAGGGAAACTGCAGTGATCATACAGATTGTTCCTTTTTTTTTCTGGTTTCTCCAGAGGTGCAGCTGCCTGTCTCTTGGCACCTCCACCACAAAACCAGGGTCCTTGGTATTGTTTCAGAAAAATTCCCTCACACTGGCACCTCCTGATTTATTATCACAGAAGCCTTGGAGTGGCTATGTCATCCTGGAGTAAAACTCTGGATAAAGTGACACTGTCAGAATGTCACTGTGTGCACTGAAAAACTGTATACATGCTCCTTCACATGCTTCCAAGCCAGACCAGCCAGAGCTGAGCAAAATGCACAGGCATGAGAGGGACCAGCAACTGCTCCTGAGGACTGTGGAATGAGGCAGTACTGGCTGCAGATTCTCTACAAGGTGGCTGAGCTGCTTGGTGGCTTTCCCATGTATGCTTTGTCAGCACATCCAGACCTGGCAGCAGCCCCCTCCTCACAGCCTTTCCCATGGCTCATGTCTGTGCCAGCCCAAAGCATTTACAGATGCTTTTCCAAACAGCTCTGTTAATTTCCTATTTCCTTTGGAACTGGCAGAAGAAAATACTGGGATTAGTCTGAATCTAGAAGGAAATGCTGAGATTTATCTGAGTATTTCTGACATCTCAGACTGTGCGTCCCACTTATCTTTACCAGCCCCAGAGCCCTGCACTCAGGTAGTCCCTTGCTACAATTAGCTTTCCCTCTGACTCAGACCAAGTACTGGGGGCAGAGCAGGCATCCCAGCAGTCATTTTCTCCAGCTTTTCCTCATTCATCTTTCAGGCTCCTTTGTGTTGAAACTATTTACAGCTACTGACCTCTCTTGTTTCTTCTTCTTCTTTGCCCAGCGAGGTGGTGGAGTCACTATCTCTGGCATTGTTCAGGAGGTGTCTGGATGAGGAGCTACAAGATATGGTTTAATAGCTTGTGGTAGTAATGGTAATGGGTAGACGGTTGGACTAGATAATCTTGTAGGTCATTTCCAACCTTGTGATTCTATGATTCTACAATTCCCACTCCTTTAATAGATTCACAAACCCATCCAGGCTGAGAGGACCTCAGGAAGTCTCTAGTCCAACCTTCTTCACAAAGCAGTGGCAGTGATGACATCTAACCAGGCTGCTCAGCATTTTTCACACTTGGGTCTTGAAAACTTCCAAGGTCAGAGATCCCACAACATCTCTGGACCCCTCTCCCAGTGGGAGACTTAGGGAAAACCCTCAAAGTTAACCTGTTCCTCCTGCTGTACATCTCCATTGAAAGCCTGACTCCATCTTCTTAATAATCTCCTCACAGCTGTTAGGGGATCCTCTTAGGTCCTCCAGAACTATCCCTTTTCAAAGCTGAACAAGCCCAACTCCTCCAGTCTCTCCTCACATGGCATTAAGTCCAGCCCCAATGTCTCAGCTGTCCCTGCAGAACTCTCTCCTGATTACTCAAGAGAGTACTGAAGAGCTCAAATCTGGATGCAGTGTCCAGCTCTGGTGTAATGAGTGCTGGGAAGGGGAGAATAATCACCATCTCCCCCACCCCATCTATAGGTCAAAAGAAAAGAGCTGAGCCCCTCTGCCTTTTAACAACCCAAATGCATTGCCAAAGCTATTGCTTAGACTGGCTTGAAATGAGGATCCATCAGCTCCTGTTTCCTAAAAATCTCTGGGTGATGACCAGATCAGTACCAACTCCTTGTTTCTGCACTATCCCAAAACTCCAAGGACAACGATGTGCAGCAGATTTTTTGCAGATGTGGAAAAGAAACGATTACCAAGCTCTTTTGATGTCTGCAGGAATGGAGCAGCTACAGAATGCATTTTCTACAGATTCACTCATAGAGCCTACAGACAGAGGGAGCCATCAGATCAGCTTCTAACAACTCCTGCAGAAATGCAGGCGGGAGCCCTATTGAGAGCTGTGCAGCTGTCTCTTCTGCATAATTTTATAACTCTTTCCATGCCTCTTGGAGCCAATAGATTTAATCTCTTTTTGTGCCTGACGTGCATGAAGGATGCTTTGCAAGGGGATGTAGATGACTGAGCAGGGAATCTGGCAGAGCATTGTCTGAGAAAACCAGAGAAATTCCAGGTATATAACAAATAAATATCACTGTTGCTAAAATTCATCAGTCCATTCTTTCAGGAGTACTGTGTACAATTCATCTGGGCTGCTTCTTTTGAAGTATTTGTCCTTAGTGTACACCATCCCCACTTGTGCATGATAAACTGGATTTTAGCATTTTAGAGCCTCAGTTGCATTTTCCTGAACAGTGGATACAGATACTGCCAGCTCAACAGCATTTGCACTTATTCCTGGAAAGAGACTTATGTCAGAAGCATGGTTATATATAGAATTCATAGAATTGCTCAGTTGGAAGACATCTTGACCTAACCATGTAACCTCTAATAATCAACCACTAAACCATGTCTCTGAGCACCACATCCAAACAGTTTTTCAACATATCCAGGGATGGTGACTCAACCACCTCTCTGGGGACCCTAGTCCAGTGCTTAACAACCCCCTCCATAAACAAGTTTTTCCAGATATCTAACCTAAACCTCCCCTGGCACAGCTTGAGTCCATTTCCCCTCATCCTGTCACCTGTCACCAGTGAAAAGAGACCAACCCCACTTTCACTGTCAGCACCTTTCAATATTCTCCTTCAGTATGTGAGAGGCTGTTTGGTGCACCTCCTGGTGGGTGGCACATCCTTTATGCTCCATCTCTGCTGAACATGAGCATCTAAGCTCAACTCCTTTGCAAGCCTTGCAGAAAGTGTCTGAAAAACCATTTCCTGCTATCTTCACCAGAACACCCAATTTGGAAAAGCAGCCATGTTGGGTTTATTGACAAAGAACTGCAAACAAATCCAAATGCCTCCTACCCAACAGCCGTCACCCACAGGCCGGTCAGCGTCTCTTTCCCAACCATGCTAGAGACCCTGAGCTCTTCATGCCCTTCCAGCACCCAACCCCATCTCCCATGCCCCCCATTCGGGGCATACTCACTAAATAAAGAGGACACCATAGGCAGCCAAGACCAGTCCAGCTGTCCAACACACTGCCACGGCCCCACTGCCCACTCCGGCCCCCTTGTCGCAGATCTTGGTGGTGGGGGGCGGCATGAAAGAGGAAGTGCTGGTGCTCGTTGTCTCTGCAGGGAGGGAGAGTGGGTGGTGAGAGGAGCTGGGGCACCCTAGGATGTTTCCCACAGGAATAGGGAAGCATCCCATCGCCACACTGCCCAACCGTGCTACACTGGGGCCAAGCTGGATGGACAAGATGATGAGAATGGAGATAGTGTGGTCTATGGGACTTTCTGTTCTCAAAAGCAGACCCAGAGGGTTCCAGAGTGCCTGGCAATGAGTGTTCCCCAGTGCTTCCCAGCCACCCCACAGCTGGTGCCAGTCAGGGGAACCGGCGTGGGGCACGCTCCCATCCTTCTGGGAAGCCAAGGGCTGATAACGTGCATTTGGACACGGTCCCAGCTCTTTCCTAGAAACAGAGGCTTGTTAACTTGGTGGCTTTTATTTCTAATTGGCATCGCTCCGAGCCATTGTGCGGGGTCGGAGGTGTGGAGGGGAGGTAGAGCTGGAGATGGTGGGGGGCAGCACTCCAGCAAATAATAATAAATCCAGAGCTCTGTCGTGGCACTTGGAGCACCCCAGTGAGGAAGATGCCAGAGCTAGGTGTGCTGAGCCAGCACCTCCTGGGCCATTCCAACCAAGCAACAGGGCCACAGGCACGTGAAGGCACATGGTAAAGGGCTGTGTCCCTCCTCTGCCACACCCTCCCCTCCATACCCAGGACCCCTGAGTGCAGGGTGTTTGTGCTGGGTGAGGGTCTCACCTGTGATCTGAACCTCTGTGGTGAGCTGCTTGGGCTCCTCCGTCCAAGGGGTGGCATGCACAGCCACACTCCAGTTGCTCCACTGTCTTTGGAGGCCACCTGGATGATGTACTCCTTGCCAGCATAGGCATCTGAGATGGTGAGTGACATCCCATCCGACAGCTCTACCTGTGGGCAGGTGGGGATCAGGCAGGGGGCTGCTGGGAATGGGAGGCAGCCAAAGGAGGAACTCCAGCAGTGGAAGGGAAGTCTTATGGTGCAGAAGCTGGCTGTCCCCTGAGCCACAAAATGAGCTGGCGGGGAAGAAGACCGGCGTGGATGAACAGAGTGCTATTCTTGAGGCTCCAGGAGAAAAAGAGAATCTACCTCCTGTGGAAGAAGGGACAGGCGACTCAGAGAGAGTACAGAGAAGTTGTTAAGATGTGTATAGAGAAAATCAGAAAGGCAAAAGCCCAGCTTGAACTCAATCTGACCGCTGGGGTAGAAAGGAACAAGAAACCCTTTTACAAATACATCAACAGTAAGAGGAAGACTAAAGAGAATCTTCATTCTTTACTGGAATGCGGCTGGGGATGTGACCACTGAGGACAAGGAAAAGGCAGAGGTTCTGAATGCCTTCTTTACGTTTGTCCTTAAAGGTCACACCAGTTATCCTCAGGGTACTCCACTCTCTGACCTGGTAGTCCCAACTGGAGTGCAGACAGAACCCCCTGCAATTCAGAAGGACGCAGTCAAGAGATCTACTACTCCAGCTGGACTGTCACAAATCCACGGGGCTGGATGGGATTCACCCGAGAGTGCTGAGGGAACTGGCTGAGGCGATAGCCGAGCCACTTGCCATTATCCATCAGCACTCTTTTTTGATTGGTGAGGTCCCAGAAGACTAGAGGCTTGCCAGTGTGACTCCCATCTACAGGAAGGGTTGTAAGGAAGATCCAGGGAGCTACAGGCCTGTCAGCCTGACCTCGGTGCCAGGGAAGGTTATGGAGCAGACTGTCCTGAGGTAGGTCACGCGGCATGTGCAGGACAACCGGAGATCAGACCTAGCCAGCATGGGTTCACGAAGGGCAGGTTCTGCTCCACCAACCTGATCGCCTTCTATGATCTAGTGACCTATCTGGTAGACAAGGAAAAGGCTGTTGATGTGGTCTGCCTAGACTTCAGCAAGGCCTTTGACAGTGTCTCCCACAGTATTCTCCTGCAGAAGCTGGCAGCCCATGGCTTGGACAGGTACTCAGCTGGGTACAGAACTGGCTGGAAGGCTGAGTCCAGAGAGTGAATGGAGCTAAATCCAGCTGGTGACCTGTCACAAGAGCTGTTCCCCAGGGGTCGGTGCTGGGGCCAGTCCTCTTTAATATCTTTATTGATGATCTGGATGAGGGCATTGAGTGCACTCTCATAAGTTTGCAGATGACACAAAGTTGTAAGCAAGTATCAATCTGTCTGGGAGTAGTGAGGCCCTACAAAGGACAGGCGGGACAGCTGGGCTGAAGCCAATGAGATGAGGTTCAACAAGGCCAAATGCCAGGTCCTGCAGTTTGGCCACAACCACCCCAGACGACGCTACAGGCTTGGGGCAGAACGGCTGGAAGACTATATAGATGAAATGGACCTGGGGGTATTGACTGATGCTCGGCTGAACATGAGCCAGCAGTGTGCCTGCGTGGCCAAGAAGGCCAATGGCATCGTGGCTTGTATAAGGAACGGCATTGCCAGCAGGAACAGGGAAGTGATTGTCCCCCCATACACAGCTCTGGTGAGGCTGCACCTCAAGTACTGTGTCCAGTTTTGGGCCCTCACTGCAAGAAAGACACTGAGGCCCTGGAGCGGGTTGAAAGAAGAGCGACAAAGCTGGTGAGGGGTCTGGAGCACAGGCCTTATGAGGATCAGCTGAAGGAGCTGGGATCGTTCAGTCTGGAGAAGAGAAGGCTCAGGGGAGAACTTACTGCTCTCTATAACTACCTGAAGGGAGGTTGTAGTGTCTGGGGGTCGGCCTCTTCTCTCGTGTAACTGGTGAAAGCACAAGAGAGAATGGATTCAAGCTGCACCAGGGGAGATTTAGGCTGGACGTTAGGAAATACTACTTGTCTGAAAGAGTGGTCAGGCACTGGAATGGGCTGCCCAGGGAGGTGGTGGAGCATCGACCCTGGAGGTGTTCAAGGAACGTTTGGATTTTGTGTTGAGGGACATCGTTTAGTGATACTACTGGTGATGGGTGGATGGTTGGACTGGATAATCTAGAAGGTCTTTTGCAACCTTGATGATTCTGTGATTCTGAGATTCTGAGATTCTGTGATTTTGTGAGGTATGAGATGGTCGGTGTGTTTAGCCCAGCTAGAAGGAGATAAAGGGACTGGTTTATGTCACTCAACCTCCTCGTCCAGGTCATCCATAAATACACTGAACAAGACAAGCTCTTCTTCTAGGCAGCAGAGCAGTAGGCTCTAACTGTTTCATCCCGAATC